CCCCCCCCCCCATATTTGGGATTCCCCCCCCCCGTCCTCTCATTGCCCCTCCCCCTCCCCCAGGCCCTTTTTGCCCCTCCCCCCAAAATAAAGCACTTTGGTCCTCCCGCCCGCCAGGGGGCGCTGCTGCCCACGCGCACCTCTGGAATAACGCACCGGAAGTCGGCCATGTTGCCCTGGTGCACGATGGGAACTGTAGTCTTGTGCAGCCACAGAACTTCCGGTCCCCTGTTTGTGAAGCATGACGGGAACTGTAGTTCTAAATTAGCGGCCATACCGGAAGTGGCTCGGCGGATGTTTCCCGACGCATTCTGGGAGCTGTGGTTTGTTAATAAGGGGGCGGGGGCTCGGCCATGTTGGCGCCCGCTGCATGCTGGGAGCTGTAGTTCGCTACAGTGCCCCAGGAGGAGTCTCTGCCTCACGGCCTGGGTGTTACTGGTCTGTACTGGGCGTTACTGGTCTGTACTGGAGGCAGCTGCTCGCCCCGCCCTGCCCCACCGCCGTGACGTCACCCACACCGAGGCATCATGGGTAGGCGGCCATCTTTACTGAGGGCACTGGGGGACGGTCACCGCTGTGTGCGGGGGGCATCCAGGTGTCCATGGAGGGTCCCCAGGTGTCCTCAAAGGTCCATTGGAGGGTCCTCAGGTGTCCCCAGGTGTGTCCCCAGCTGTCCCTGGTGGGTCCCAGCTGTGCCAGGTGTCCCCAGGTGTTCGCAGCAGGTCCTTCAGGTGTCCCCAGGTGTGTCCCAGGCATGTCCCAGCTGTCCCCAGGTGTGTCCTAGGTGTCCCCAGCTGTCTCCAAGCATGTCCCAGGTGTGTCCCAGGTGTCCCCAGGTGTTCCCGGCAGGTTCTTCAAGTGTCCCCAGGTGTGTCCCAGCTGTCCTCAGGTGTTCACAGCAGGTCCTTCAAGTGTCCCCAGGTGTGTCCCAGCTGTCCCAGGCGTGTCCCAGGTGTCCCCAGGTGTCCCCAGGTGCTCAGCAGCGCCGGGGGGATCCGGGGTAGCGCCTCCTCAGCTCCTCACGGAAGCCACGGAAGAGGCGCCGGTTGTGGCCCAGCTCGGCCTCGCGGCCCCCGTGGAACCCGCCCGGCTCCTTGAACCCCCGGTGGGTGACGAAGGCCCCGTCCAGCACCGCGAAGCGGAACCCGGCCACGTGCAGCTCGCAGGCCTGGGAAGGGTTAAGAGGTCACCCCGAGACCCCCAGGGAGCCCCCCGGAGCCCCCCAGCCGTGCCCTCACCTGGCTGATGCGGTTGAAGCCGTACTGGAGGAACCTCTCGTCGAAGGGGGGGACGCCGCGGGCGGGGGCCACGAAGAACGGCTCCCAGGGGTCCCTCCACGGCGCCTCGTAGGCCACGCGCGGCCGCGGCGCCGGCGGCAGCGTCCGCCAGCGGCCGAAATCGGTGGGGGCCTGGCAGCGGGGACACAGCGTCCCGTAGAACGGCCGCGCGTCCCCCGCGCCCCAGAGCCGCAGCAGCTCCGGCTTCGACGCCGGCGGCCGCAGCCCCGCGCGCACCTCGAAGGCCGGCAGCACGAAAAGCAGCCGCGCCCAGGGCGGCTCCGCGGCGTGGGGGTCACTCGGGGTGTTGGGGTCACTTGGGGCACGGAGGTCATTCGGGGTGTTGGGGTCACTCGGGGCTTGGGGGTCACTCAGGGTGTTGGGGTCACTCAGGGCCTTGGGGTCATTCGGAGCATGGCGGTCACTCAGAGCTCGGGGGTCACTCAGAGTGTTGGGGTCACTCAGAGCTCGGGGGTCACTCAGAGCTCGGGGGTCACTCAGAGCTCGGGGGTCACTCGCGGTGTTGGGGTCACTCAGGGCATTGAGGGTCTCCACGGCGTTGGGGTCACTCAGTTCATGAGGGACAGGGGGCTCCCAGAGACCCCCGGGGACCTCCAGGGCGTTGGGGACCCCCGGGGCTCGGGAACTCTTGGGGTCTTCCCGCCCACTGGGGCCCAACCAAGTCTTGGGGTTCTTTGGGATTTTGGGGACACCGAGGTCCCCGAGACCCTCGGGGGCCACCACGGCCTTGGGGACCCCACGGCCACCAGGAGCCCCCAAAGCTTTTGGGTTCCCCGAATCCCCCCGAAACCCCAAACTGCCCTGAACGGCCCAAGTTTTGGGGTTCCCCAAATCCCCCTGAGCCCCCCGAGCTTTGGGGTCCCCCCGTCCCCCCCAGTTTTTGGGGTCCAGGCCCCCGTCCCGCAGCAGCTCCAGGAACCCCTCGCGCAGACCCGGGCTCGGCACCACGTCGGCGTCCACCATGAGCACGAAACGCTCCCCGAATTTGGGTGGGGGTCCCCCCGCGGGGCCCCCCCCGGCCGCCCCCTCCCAGGCCACGTTCCTCAGCAGATTCCCGGGGTACGGCACCCCCAAACTGTAACTGGGGGGGTCGGCGGCCGCCAGCCGCGCCAGGGCCCCCCGGCACCCCCCGGCGCTTCGGGGGGCTCGCGGCGCCTCGGGGATTTTTGGGGGGGGTCCCGCCGCCCCCAGCACCACGTGCAGCCTCAGGCGGCTCCTCAAACTCCGGCAGGGACCCCCCAAAATCGCCAGCAGCTCCTCCAGCCCCTCCCGGGGCACCCCAAACACGGCCAGGGCCAGCGGGCCCCCCCAGGACCCCCCGAGCGCCGCCGCCGCTCGCCCGGGGCTGCCGTGGGTGGCCAGGACCAGCTCGGGCCGGGGGGCGCGGGCCCAGCCCGGGGGGGCTCCCAGAACGTCCCGGAACACCCGGAACGCCCCCGAGGCGTCCAGGACCCCGCGGGGGGCGCGGCGGGGCGGGGGGCGCGGGGTGGGGGGCACAGCCCGCAGGTAGAGGGTCTGCAGCAGAGCCAGAGCCCCCAGGAACCAGGCGCAGCCCCCCAAAACACGGCCCCGGGACATGGCTGGACTGGGGGGACTGGGAGAGGGGAATGGGGGGACTGGGGGG